GAGCACCTATTTTGTTCACACGAACAGAGAACTTATTTTGTCACCTGAACAGAGCACTTATCGTGTCACCTGAACAGAGCACCTGGACATAGCACGTATCTTGTCACCTGAACAGAGCATTTATCTTGTCACCTGAACAAAGCACGTGAACAGAGCACTTAGCTTGTCACCTAACCGGAACATAGCACTTATCTTGTCACCTGAACAGATCACCTGAACATAGCACTTATCTTGTCACCAGGACATAGCATTTATCTAGTCACCTGAACAGAGCACCTGATTATAGCACTTATCTTGTCACCTGAACAGAGCACCTGAACATAGAACTTATCTTGTCACCTGAACAGAGCACCTGAACATAGAACTTATCTCGTCACCTTAACAGAGCACCTGAATATAGCACTTATATTGTCACCTGAACAGAGCACCTGAACATAGCACTTATCTTGTCACCTGAACAGAGCACTTGAATATAATACTTGTCTTGTCACCAGAACAGAGCACCTATTTTGTCACATGAACAAAGAACTTATTTTGTCAACTGAACATAGCACGTATCTTGTCACCTGGACATAGCACCTATCTTGTCACCTGAAATGAGCACTTATCGTGTCACATGAACAGAGCACTTGAATATAGCACTTATCTTGTCACCTGAACAGAGCACCTGAACATAGCACTTATCTTGTCACCTGAACATATGCACCTATCTTGTCACCTGAACTGAGTACGTATCTTGTCACCTGAACAGTGCATCTTGTCACCTGAACAGTGCATCTGGACATAGCACTTACCTTGTCACGAGAACAGAGCACCTGAATATATCACGTATCTTGTCACCTGAACAGAGCATCTGAACATAAGACTTATCTTGTCACCTGAACAGAGCACTTATCTTGTCGCCTTAGCAGTGTGATTATCTTGTCATCTGAACAGAGCACTTCAAAAAATGTCGTCACTTGTCTTTTGACTTTGACATGCAGGATGCTTATCTATTGCCCCGAATCTAGTGATTATCTTGTTACATGAATTGGGTGCTTATCTTGGGATCTAGATAGGGTGTCTTTCACGAGACAGACACAAGCCAGAACACTTATCTGAACATGGTGCAACCACCCCTATCCTTACCTGTGTAGGTTTCCAAAACATGATTTCAGAATGGAAAATTCAGTGTTTGGCCTCATATATATATATTTTTTAAATATCATAAATTACATATTTGTGAATATTGATCAACTTCTTTGAACCATTTGTTTTGTCTTAATCCACATGTGATGGCAATGTGTCCCACACAGAACTAATATCTAACTCAACTTTTAGAGAATTCTTACAGATTTAAACATAAAACATGCTAACAGAGTCTCTTATGAAATGTATGTTATATAAATGATCGTTCAAGCTAAAGCGCCCTCTAGTGGCCAGATCATAAATAAATAAACGCTGCTCGGACTGATAAGTATGATATATTGAAGATAATA